GGGTGTCCAGGGGCACCAGGAGTGGGGGAGAGTGATTATTGTTGGAGCAGGGTTTCCTTTTGCGGTCATGGAACATCCTGCAACCAGACTGTGCTGATACTGACACAGCATCATGAATGCACTTCATGCTCAGGAATGGCACCATATAAAACAGGAACAATAACTTTATTATTTAGTAAAAGGGATTATACAAAGGAATGATGAAGGCCAAAAACAGAAAAAAGAAAATAATAAAAGCAAAACTCACCCCAAACCCAAAAAGTACTAAAAAGATCAAAAAAGAAAGTATTCCATGGAGAACATAAAAACAAGATAAGAACAGAAAATAAAATGGAAATATCAAGAAGTGAGGGGGAAACCAGTTTTTCCCTTGGGACAGGTTGAGCAGTTTCAACAAGCAGCCCATGAATTGGCTCCTCCACAGACAGCTCCTCCTCTGAGGAAGGAACCAGCATGGGTCCAGGTGAGGGTTCTTCTTCCAGGGCTGGTGGGGCTTCAGTTCTGTCGGGGGCCAGCCCCGGCCCCACAGCTGAAGCTGGAGAGGCTTCTGGAGGTGGCACAGGCTCTGGAGGTGCACATGCCTCCAGCTCTGCCTCCAGCTCCTCAGGATGGACTGTAGTTGTTACAGGAGGAGCCGCATCTGCCCCCTGGGCTGGTGCTGGAGTTGTGAGAGGAGAAAAGGTCACCCACGTGCCAGTATTCCCTTGTGCCCTCCAAACACAGAACACAGGGAGGGGACTCAGTGCTGGGGCAGCTGGCCTTGGTACATAGCATGTTCCTTCCCATGCACACCCAGGCCCAGTAGAGGCAGCCACAAATGGTGGATCACTTTGTAGCTTCAAACAGGTGGCCTATGGCCAGTCACAGGCAGCATCGGATACTGACTTACACTAGTCTCTCCCAAGAGGCCCCAGAAACAACACACATAGTGGTCAGCTTCAAACAACATCAGAACAGGTTCCAATTACCTTCAGAAGCAGGATAGCCAAAGGGAGATCTTGGAAGGTACCAGACCTGCTGAGTTGAATTCCATTCTGTGTGGTCAGGACCTGCACAGCAGGTCGTACATTGTGGTCAAGGCTGCTACTCAGAGTAAGCCACCCAGAGGATTGACCCCACACACAAATGGGCCAATAGCAATCAAGACTCAAGAACAACAGAAGGGCTCACACTTAAATACAACAGAATGTTGCACAAGGGACATTCCTGAAGCACACAGCTTAGGTGATCAAGGAGACTGTGCCACCGGATCTCATGTACAATATAGCCCAATCTACAAAGATTGGGAGACATAGCAGACTTACTTAATACATAGAAACAAACACAAGGGGCAACCGAAATGTGGAGACAAACAAACATACCACAAATGAAAGAACAGGAGAAATTTCTAGAAAAAGAGCTAAATGAAATAGACACAAGCAATTTACCAGATAAAGAGTTCAAAACCTGATGATAAAGAGGCTCAGGGAACTTACTGAGAACTACAACAGCATGAAAACGGACATAGAAACCATAATAAAGAACCAATCATAGCCCAACTGGGTGGTGTGGCTCAGTGGTTGAGCATTAACCTATGAACCAGGCAATCACAGTTTGATTCCAGGATCGCAGGCTCAATCCCCATAAGGGCCTGCAGGAGGCAGCCAATCAGTGATTCTTTCTCATCATTGGTGTTTCTATCTCTCTTTCTCTCCCTTCCTCTCTCTGAAATCAATGAAAACATTTTCAAAAAGTTAAAGAGAATACTTTCAAAGGAAAACAAACTAAAAGCGATGGAATTCGTTACCAGTCAACCCACCTTTCAAGAAATGTTAAAAGATCTTTAGAGAGAAGGAAAATACGGGTATGTATATATTTACTCATGTCCAACAGAACTGAATGACAGAAATGATGCAAGAGACAGGATAATAATTTAGAAATGTTTTGTTATTATTAGGTACTTATGCTGCTCATAATGTGGTATACTATTATTTGAAAGTGTGGTTGGATAGCTTGCAAATATATATTGCAAACTCTAGAGTAGTCAGTAAAAAAACAAATAAAAAGTAAACATAAATAGAAATTGATTCTAAAATGTCCCTGATACTGGTAATAGTAAATAATCCCTTTAGAAAAGACAATAAAGATCATAAAGGAAATGTTGGTAGTAATGAGTGAACAGATGAAGCATCTTAAATTAATTATAAAATAGAGCCAAATGGAAAGTGCATAAACATAAAATACAAGTTTTTAAATGAACTATTTACTGAATGAGTTTAGCAGTCAATGGAACATAGAAGAAGAAAAGAGAGATTTTAGAGGCTGACCAAAATACATTATTTGGACTGAAGAACAGAAAGAAAAAATAATAATATGACTTTGGTGACCTATGGGAAATATCAATGATCAAATATAATTGAAGTTGCAAAACTTGGAAAGTAAATGGTGGGAAAGAATTAGAAGAAATAATTGCTAATGTTTTTCTCAAAATTTATTATAAAATAATGAATTTAAGTATCCACACAACTCTGAGAATACCAATCTAGATATAGTCAAAGAAAATAATATGTAGGTGTTTAATAGTCAAACTCTTGAAAAAATATAAAGAGAATATTATGAAATCTTCTACAGATTAAAAGACATGCAGTTTTAAGTGGTGGCTTATACCTAATAAATTACATAGAGACCAGAGAACAATGGAGCAACATCTTTAAAGTGTTTGGGTAGGAAGAAGACTGTCAATCAAGACATCTGTATTCAATGAATACATCTGTCAAAAAGCAGAAGCAAAATAAGACATTTTTGGATTAATGAAATGTTTGAAAATTAATTGGTAACATATCCACTATCTAAGAATGGTCCAGCTCAGGAAAAATTACACCAAAATGAAATTTGGATTTTCAGGGAGAAATGATGATATCAGAAATGGTAACTATCCCTATTACATGCCTATTACCTATAATAAAAAAAGTGTAATATGCTAATTAAACAGAACAGCCAAACGACCTTCTGTACATCATTCCAGATGTCCTTTTGGATGAAGCCACCATGGTGGGGGCCGAGGCAGAGGCAGTTAGTATAAAGAGAATATTATGAAATCTTCTACAGATTAAAAGACATGCAGTTTTAAGTGGTGGCTTATACCTAATAAATTACATAGAGACCAGAGAACAATGGAGCAACATCTTTAAAGTGTTTGGGTAGGAAGAAGACTGTCAATCAAGACATCTGTATTCAATGAATACATCTGTCAAAAAGCAGAAGCAAAATAAGACATTTTTGGATTAATGAAATGTTTGAAAATTAATTGGTAACATATCCACTATCTAAGAATGGTCCAGCTCAGGAAAAATTACACCAAAATGAAATTTGGATTTTCAGGGAGAAATGATGATATCAGAAATGGTAACTATCCCTATTACATGCCTATTACCTATAATAAAAAAAGTGTAATATGCTAATTAAACAGAACAGCCAAACGACCTTCTGTACATCATTCCAGATGTCCTTTTGGATGAAGCCACCATGGTGGGGGCCGAGGCAGAGGCAGTTAGGGGCGATCAGGCAGGCAGGTGAGTAGTTAGGGGTGATGAGGTGGGCAGGCAGGTGAGTAATTAGGGGTGATGAGGCAGGCAGGCAAGCCAGGGTTAGGAGCCAACAGTCCTGGATTGCAAGAGGGTGCAGGCAGGACTGAGGGACCTTCCCCCCAGTGAATTTCGTGCACCTGTCCTCTAGTTCACATATAAAATTCACATATCATATGCAATAATATTGATCAACCAGAAGGACATTAAGCAAAGTAAGCCAAACAGAGAAGGACAAATATTGTATGAGCTCACATATACGTGAAATATAAAAAAAAACAGGTCAAACTTATAAGAACAGAGAGTAGAATGGTGGTTGCCAGTGACTGGGGGTGAGGAAATGGGCAGATGTTGGTCAAAGGGTACAAACTTTCATTTAGAAGATAAGTTCTGGGGTTCAAATGTATGGCATGGTAACTTTAGTTACTAATACTTTTTATATACTTGAAATTTGTTGAGTTAAAGATTTTATATATTCTCACCACACACATACACACACACACACACACACAGAGATAACTACATGAGATGGTGGATATACTAAATTGATTGTGATAACCATTTTACCAAGTATATGTATAGCAAATCATCATGTTGTACACTAAGTCTATACAATTTTATTCTATTAATTATGGATCAATAAAGCTAGAAAAATAAAAACCCAAAGCAAGAACAGTATGTGGGGAAATAGAAAATACTACCTTTGCTCCAACTAATTTCTTTAATAGATAACTAAATATTTAAGAATATATCATTGTGTTATGGAATTTAAATTTTTTGCAGAAGGAAAAATATATGGCAACAATGGGGGAAGAATGGGGTGGTAAATAAAATGTACTTTTGATTAGTAAGGTTCTATATGACTCAGATTTTTTTATTTTTATTGAGCTTAATGGATTTACACTGGTTACAAGATTATGCAGATTTCAGGTGTACAGTTCTATAATACATCATCTGTATATTGTATTTGTGTTCACCACCACAAGTCAAGTTTTATTCTGTCAGCATTTATCTCCCCTTTTCCCTGCTCCTCCTCAACCCACCCTACCAGCTCCAGGCAATCACCACACTGTTGTCCTTGTCCATCACTTTCTTCTCTTTTTTTTCCTTTTTTGATCAATCCCTTCTCCCCCTCCACCCAACCTTTCAAACCTCCCCACACCCCATTCAGCTATCAGCCTGCTCTCTATCTAAGTCTGTTTCTGTTTTGCTTGTTAATTCATTTTGTTTATTAGATTCCACATATGAGTGAAATCATATGGTGCTTCTCTTTCTCTGACTGGCTTATTTCACTTAGCATATTTTTCATAAAAGCTATTTGACTTTACTATTTGTTATCTGCTTAGTTTATAATTAAATGTGCTTAATACAGAAGGCCAGGCAGCATATGAAAACATGCTCAAAGTCACTAATCATCCAAGAGATGCAAATCAAAACACCTGTCAGAATGGCTGTCATCAACAAATCGACAAAGGACAAGTACTGGAGAGGATGTGGACCTCCCCCCCAAATAGCTCCCAGCAAGACCCGGAACCCCTGACCCACAATGCCTTGTGATTTTATCCGGTATAATCTGTAACCTACACTACTCTATCGAGGAATCTGAGCTTTTGACCCTTAGCTTCCTCTTCTCTTGTATGGTGCCACTCATAATAAAAGAGTCAATATTCCACTCATCTGCTGATGGGCATTTAGGCTGTTTCCAAATATTAGCTATTTGGATTAGAAAACTATGATACACCTACACAATGGAATACTATGCTGCTAATAAAAAAAAGAAGGAATTCTTACCATTTGCAACAACATGGATGGAACTGGAGAGCATTATGCTAAGTGAAATAAGTCAGTCAGGGAAAGAAAAATGCCACATGATCTCACTCATTTATGGATAATAAAGAACATTATAAACTGATAAACAAAAATAGATACAGAGGCAGAGAAGCATTGAACAGACTGTCAAACTGCAGTGGGAAAGCTGGGGAGGGGTGTAGGGGGGGAGGTAAGAGATCAACTGAAGGACTTGTATGCATGTATATAAGGATAACCAATGGACACAGACACTGGAGTGGGGGTGAGGGCATGTGCCGGTGGATAGGGGAGGCCAGGGGAGGTCAATGGAGGAAAAGGGAGACATATGTACTACTATTTGTAATACTTTAAACAATAAAATAAAAGAATAATGCATATTATTTACTTTTTATATGCTAAATGTCATCTGTTGAGAGGGAAAGTTAAAATCTTTCTAATGAGGTATTTTTGGATTTCTTATACTTTTATCATCATTTCCTCATGTGTTTGAGAATAGTATTTTATGTTCATAAAAAGTTTTCTTTTCATATAATTCTGTTGAATTGGCAATTTTATCATTACATAGTGAATTTCTTGTTTCCTAATAATCTGTATTGCCTCAAAATTCTTTTATCTTATGTATTATATTTTTATTGGAAAATATTATTTTGTGCTCATCCTAGAAAATAAAATTTGTTTATCACAGAGGCTACTGTGCTTTTTCTGGGAAAGAATATTAAACATCTTTATAAAAACAATGTAATATATATATTCCATAATAATTTAGTTTTTAGATATTTTTCACTGTTTTAATGACTACTATTCTCATTTGGGATAGTCTTATTCCTGGATGCATTTGTCCCAATGCACATAGATTTACATAATATTTTATTTTTATTTATTTGTTTTCTTAAATATGTTTTTATTGATTTTTAGAGAGAGAGGAATGGGGATGGAGAGAGATAGAAACATCCATAAGAAATAAACATCAATTGGATTGCCTCCCTCTCACCCCCTAATGGGGATCAAGTTTACAACCCAGGCAGGTACCCTGACCCAAAATTGAACTGGTGACCTCTTGGTGCTTGGGTCCACCCTCAATCACTGAGCTTCACTAGCTGAGCCACATAATATTTTAAATGAATATTATGTTTTGTTTCTGTTTATGAAGATTTGGTTCATTGCTATTTTTAAATATATAAGTTAAGGGAGTTTTTTTTTCTTTCTCATATTAGAGATACTATGTTACTCTGAATGTAAAATAAAACATGCAGATCATAGTTAATTATGTTTTGTAATATGCATAACATCTTATTAATAAACGTTAAATGAGCCCTGCTGGTGTGGCTCAGTGTTTGGGCATCACCCCTTGTATCAAAAAGGTTGTTAGATGGATTCCTGGTCAAAGCACATACACCAGGTTGCAGGCTTCATCCTTGTTAGCAGGTGTGCAGGAGGCAACTTACCAATCTTCTGCTGTCACATCCATGTTTCTCTCTCTCTCTCTCTCTCTCTCTCTCTCTCTCTCTCTCTCTTTCCCTCTCTCTCTCCCCCCTTTTCCAATCTCTCTCTAAAACTTTTCAAAATAAATAAGTAAATAATGAACATTAGATAAAACTTTTGAGTTATGAAGTTCTTTTATGGCATGTACTCCTTTTAAGAAAATAAAAATTGCCCGACTGCATCACTCAGTGGTTGACAATCAACCTATGAACCAGAGGTCATAGTTCAATTCCAAGTCAGGGCATATGCCTGGGTTGTGGACTGGATCCCCAGTGGGGGGCGTGCAGAAGGCAGCCAATCAATGATTCTCTCTCATCATTGATGTTTCTATCTCTCTCTCCCTTCCTCTCTAAAATCAATAAAAATATATTTTAAAAAATAAAATAATTATTAAGAATAAATTACATTTCCATAAAATCATAATTAAAATTACCAAATTCTCTAATTAATGTGGGCATAAACATTTTATTGCTTTCCCAGTGTTGTCTGAGACCACTTGAGTTAGGCACCTCTTTTAGTGTGCGAACCTCTATTCAGAACATGGTCAATAAGAAATAGAGTGAAATTCATTTTAAAACAGAATTATTCACATATTTCAAGAAAATGTAATCCATGTGACTTTTATTTTATCATATTTTACTTTGAAAATGCCAAATCACCTGGTTTGCTTGTGAGACTGCTGAGAACCAGTCATATATACGAATCATAATTTGAGAAGCCTTTTGAGTGTTTACGAAACGCATTGGCAAGAAGCTAATAGATTCCTGAAATGGAGCACAGTCTGAGTATTATAAAGAAGTAATAGAATATGCCAAATTAAAGTTAAAGTCCTATCACTTTCTTTTCCCTAAAGGCAGCAATGCTCAATTTAGTTTATTTTCTTCAGAAAATAAAACAAGATGCATATCTTCCCTTCAAACATCTGATTTAAGGACAGGTATTTTTTTTTCAAAGCAGATTTTTAGCTACAGTCACTTCTGAATATTATGTTGATTTTATCTTATTTCTGTTGGCCTGGCCTGCAGGGATCAGGCTGAAACTGGGTCTTTAACATTCCCTTGAGGGGTCCGGATTGGGAGAGGGCACAGGCCAGGCCGAGGAACTCCACTGGTACATGAATCCATGCACCAAGCCTCTAGTATGCATATAAATTATTTGGTTAATCTCTCCCCACCCCACCACCCCACCTTTTAATGGGAACCTATTAGGATAGATAAACTATCTCTTGATTTCAAGATTGTCCCTACTCTTTGATCTTCATGATAAAATTATGAAGGTACATACAAATCTTAACATTTTTTTAATCTATTTAAAATATTATCTCCTCTAGCCCTTGCTGGATAGCTATTTGTTAGAGCATTGTCCCCATACACCAAAGTTGTGGGTTCAATCTCTGTCAGGGCACCTATAAGAATCAACCAATGAATACATAAATAAGTGGATCAACTAATCATTTAATTGCAGAATGATAAATATGTGCATAAATAATTTTGACATTAATGTGGATATCACCATAGTGCATCCCATCCAACTTAAGATAGTGAGAGTTTTATTTTCTAGAATACAGTTATCCCTTTGAATTACTAGGAAACATGCCTCTATTTGAGAAGGAAAGTGACACAAAATACAGGACACAATGGATATGTCCACCTGGAGCAGTAAGGATTAGCCCATTCAAGTCTTGGGGCTTTGGATGAGTGAGCATAACTTCTGCTAGATCATGCACTAACAACAACTGGTGTGCTGCCACAGGAAAGATGGCAGCAGATAAAGAGATTACTGCTTTCACTGGTGATGTGAGCTTTTAGCTTGAAGGTGAGTCTTTTGTCTTGGCTTAGCTCCTACTTGGTTTCTAGGAGCAAGCAACAGGCAGAGCTGCTTAAGGCACTCTCCATGGTTTTCCCTACATGACTGCCCCCTTCCCCCAAATACCCTATGATCTCCCAAAGTCACAAACTCCTTCAGTCTAAAAACTAATTTTGTTTCACCTGTTTTTTGCCCCTCACAGCAATGCAGGCTTTGTTTTCTCTTTGCAATCATGTATTAGTTGGGATTTGCTAGGCATTAGTTGTGTAACAATGAAATGTAGTAGTTTATCACATAGGCTATGTCATGCTTGGGTTATATATGTCCATTGTGGGTCTGCTGAGGTTTTGCTCTGTGTCATTTTACTCTGTAGCAAGAAAAGATGAACAGTCTTTATATGAATCATATTGTCCTGACAGATGGAAAAAGAAAAAAAAAGGACCTTTGGTGGCTTTCGCTCTGGGTGTAATTATTTAAAGATGCTGGTCTCAAAGTGATCATATATATTCATTATCACTTTCAGTTCAATGCCCAGAATTTGATACAAGGTCAACAAACCTACAAGAAGAATAGGAAATACAAACCTATCTTATGCTTCAATGAAAGCAAACTTGAACATTTGTTAAGAAGCACATTAAAAACCATAGATCTGCTATTATGAGATTATGTCCTTAATAACATTCCTTACTTCTTGTCATTTTCAAAAGAGCCATGCTCTTCCTATCAGAAAAAACAAATTCTGTCTCATGTAAGCCAAAAGATTTGGAATTTTTGAAGGCTTCAAGAAATAGTTTTGAATAATAATAAAAAACAAGATAGATGATATTGACTGCTTTCTTAAAAATATTTTTTTTCTCTGCTACAAATGATCACTTTGTAATGTGGATGGATTGAATATGAGTGGGTGACATACACAAAAAGTGTGAGAAAAATAACTGAAATTAATATCTCAAGATATTTTCTCACTGCATATGCAAAGACAATGCTCTGAAAAAACTATATAACGAATTCATTGAACTAGAGAGAGTAGCTGTAAAAATGTGAGAAAAGAAGAAGAGGTGGAGATAGACCCATGGATACAGAGACTGACAACTATAAGAGGGGAATGATTTGGGGACTAGGTGAGAAGGGTGAAGGGATTCAGTAAGGAAAAAATAGAAAGACTTATGGACACAGACAGCAATATAGTGATTGTCAGAGGAATGGGGGTGAGGGTTGAAGGTAGAGAAGGGAAAGGGGAATAAATGGTTATGAAAGGAGACTTCACTTGGGGTGGTAAACACACAATACAATATACAGACAATGTAGTATAGAATTGCATAGCTAAAACCTTTATATTTTTACTAGAGGCCCGGTGCACAAAATTTGTGCATGGGGGTGGGGAGTTCCTTCAGCTGAGCATGCACCCTCTCCAATCGGGGACCCCCATGAATTTTTATATTAGAGGCCCAGTGCATGAAATTCGTGAATGGAGAGTGGGTGAGGGGGAAGAGTCCCTCAGCCCAGCCTGCACCTCTTGCAATCCGGGACCCCTCGGGGTATGTTCGACTGCGAGGTAGGGCCTAAACCGGCAGTCGGACATCCTTCTTGCAATCTGGGACCGCTGGCTCCTAACAGCTCACCTTCCTGCCTGCCTGATCCCCCTAAGAGCCTCTGCCTGACTTCCTGATTGCCCCTAACCCTTCTGCCTGCCTCTGCCTCTGGGCCTTTCTCCAGGCCTGATCTGCCGCCTCTGTGGCAGCTGCTGATCAACCCTTGCCTCTCTCTTTCTCTGGGCCTCACCAGCAGCCACAGCAGCTGCTGATCAGGCCCTGTCTCTCTCTACAGGCCTCACCAGCAGCAGTGTTGGCTGCTGATTAGGCCCTGTCTCTCTCTCCAGGCCTCTCTCTGGGCCTGATCTGTAGCCACCAAGGCAGCAGCGAGATTGTTAGGCCTCCGCCCGGCATGGGCCAGAGGCTAACAACTTCACAGCACCTGCCTCATCCTGCTCCACTGCCCCTTGCTGCCCCACCACCCCCAGCTGGCCCCCCCAGTCTGGTGACCGGTCGTCCATCTGGTCATTTAGGATGTGATGGTCCCTGGTCTTTTATAATGTAGATTAACCAATATCACCCCAATAAATTCTATAAAAATAAATCATAAAAACTTGGAAAAAATGAAAAAAGATGCCTCTTTGTGTAAACATATCAATAAAATAAAATCTTCGAACTAAACTCCAAAGCTTTCTAAGGCTAAGGGATGCCAGACAAATTAATGAGAAATGATCGAGGTTAACAACATGGCTAGAGGCACAAATGATGTTCCATAAGGCATCAAATAAAAAAACCTAGTGATGCTTACACAAGGGATCTGAAGATACTGCCAGTTACTCTTCCAAGTATCAAGTCTCATGCAGTTTTAATTAAGAGTAGTCTGTTTTTCAAGGCAGAAAGTTACTTGGAGCTGAAATTTGTATCAATTGGAAATCATAAAGCAAATTTGTTTTAATATTCATATCAGTACCCAGAGGTTTGAATGCATTCACTAGAATAAATAACCAACATTCAATTTGAAGTATTTTTTCTTCAGTTACTCATGTGGTTTCATATTCTACATTACATTTTTAATTAATCTGGAATTAATTTTGATGTAAGTATAAAGTATACATCTATTGTGTTATATTTTCTAAATTGGTATACAATAATTACAATCCACAACCATGAAATGAGTTACAGAAGTAAGATCCCTAGCAACTATGTGAGGGGGATCAGAGGTCACCACCAAAAGCCTGTCTTCTGGGAGGTATTGATTCTTTTAAGTTGGACATATTTTAGAAACAAAAGACTCAAGAAGAGCCTTTTGCTTCCCACTAACTGCTTAAAAGAATCAAATAGAAAAACCTGCTTAGGAATGAAACTGAATCCAAGGTCAGCCCCCTGCTGCAATGAAAGCCAATAGTCATGAGACAGGAGCTGGTGATTGGAAAGAGGTTTATTTGAATTGCCAGCAATTCAAGAAGATGGGGGACTCTTGTCCCAAAGCCCATCTTAGCATCTCAGTGCAGACTGGGGTTTGTATAGGAAGGGAGAGAGGAAGCAGAACAAAGAGATCGGGGGAGGGACTGTGGATGTGCAGGTAGCGTCCTTGCTGGTCCCCATATGGATCTTTAAAGTCAGCATACTGGAACTGGTTCGTGTTAGCCAAATCCTGCAGTTGAGTGATCTGCATCAACCGAAGTCATGGTCAAGGCCATTTTTTTTTGTTTTTTGTACAAACAGGAACTGAAACTGCTGATGCCTGCTTATAACTAAACTGTAAGTATGTGAGTTCTTTTTATCAGTTTTCCATTTTATGGTTAGTCAGAGTAGAATAAAGGTTTTGTTTCCTTACAATTCCCCACTGTCAATTCTTTCTTCACATGTATGGAACAATTGATGTCTTCTGAATCTTCTGGGGGGATAATAAACTTAAGCTTTTTGTAAAGCAAAATCTCATGAGTTAAAAGCAGATATATTTCTTAGAGGTGTGCCTGTTAGGCAGATACAGTTTTTCCGGCACAGGAAAAATAAAGAGGTCTAAAACAATGATGACAAACATTATAAACAAAAGAATGGTTAAACCTAAATTAAAATCCCTGCTAATAGGCACCTGAGTCCTTGATATATTCATGAGAACAGACTCGCAAACCAATCTCCGGTTCCTTTAAAGAGTGGGGTGTGATGGACTACTGTTTACTGAAGTCAGGGAGCTTGTTTTCTGATCTTAGTGATGCCTGTCTCTACCTGAGATGAGGTATTGATACCATATAGCTCCTTGTTATTCAACCTGTAGACAAACACAATTTGATTTTCTAAAACAGCTTTAGCTAGAGAATGTAAAGATTTTTGCAGATTGGCAAACACAGTTATCATTTTATTGACTATAATTATTCATATTTTAGATAGGTTATGCAAATGTTGGTGAGCTGTCACTCCCCACAATGGCAGGAGAGTATAACCAAAGAGATACTCTTCCCCATTGGGGATGTATCCTGGAAGATCCTGAGCTACTCGAGGAGTAGGTTGACTGAGCTAGTCTAGTGGCAGGTCTCATTTCCTGGATGGACTGAAAAAGGGATAACTAATGATCCTGGAAAACATTGTCCAGGATCAGTCTTGTTCCATAAACAGTTATAGGCCCAGGGCAGTCCCTCTGAACCACACATGACCATTTAACCTCTCGGGGAACACTAGATAAAATGGTTAATGCTTGTTACGGCCATAGACATTTTTAATAGCCTAGAGGAGGCATGTTGTTGGAGAACTTTCCTCCTCCTCTTCAGGCAGGGCCCTTTTTACTTGAGTGTGATAGATCCACGGCTTTCCCTCAGTAAACTTCAAAGAGGTGTGACTGGTACCTGTCCACTTTTTATCCAGTTGATGTTCAGATCTCTGATTTTCCAGTTCTTCAAAAGTACTTTGTCTTCAGGTTGGAACAGGTTGGGAGTTTCCTCAGATGAATAACTGAACTCTTTCATAAATTTCTGGTGGGATTAATTCTCCTTCTGTTCATTCTGGACAGCCTAAGCACATCTGGAAATGTAACACATGCTGTGGCGAAACCTGAAGGTGAAGGTGTTGTTTTTCTGACAAAAAAAGTTACCTGAGCATTCAGCTTGCATAACAAATCTCATCCCAGCAAGAGTATTGCACATTTTGGCATATAGAGAAAAGTGTGTGACAATTTAAAAATCTTCTAATTGACACCCTATGGGTTGGAGAAAGGCCTTTTGCTGCATCTGTCTGGTAACTTCCCCTACCTAGATGATTTCCTGACTTCTGTTAGTCATTCTTATATTTAAAATGGAATAAGTATCTCAAGTGTCAACTTCAAAGTCAATCAATATGTTCCCCAATGCCAACTGTATCTGGGGCTACAGTGGGAAAATAATTATGGGTCAATAGGTGTCCAGAGGAGCCCCTGGGCCACCTCATTCATTATCTGAGTATGAGTAGGGTTTGCAAGCTGGTGGAGATAAGCTGTGTTACAAATTCCAATATTATTGGGGGAAAAGGTAGAAGAATTCGAGATCCAGCCTGTTTATAAGTGAAAAAAAAACTTTGAAGACAATTAACTGATCTAGAGTCTAATGTCCATAACTATAGTATAGTCTATTGAGACACAATTTCTTTCCCTAAAATCACCCTCATTTTATTAGTGCCAAATCAAGACCAAATTATTGCATTGAGTCTAGTTTCCATTTGGCCTGATTATTTGAATGAACACAACAAGAACAGTAATTGATCATATAGGCTCTCTTGAAACTGCTTTGCTGGAATCTCATAAGGAATTTACAGATTGAACTTTAATTAGCCTTTCAGGACAAAGAAGTCAAGCCACAAAGTTGTCATCAGGCTTGGATGCAATACCTACAGAATTGGATGAGTTCCTCAAGTTCTCAAGGTTCCCAAAACATCTTAAGGTCCTTTCTGGCCATCTCACAGGAAAGCAACCTTCACTCTTTTTCTGGAAAGACTGCCATACATGATATGAATAAGCAAGGTACCAGGGCATTTCTCCAAGGAGCTTTTATTAGCTTTAAAGCCAATCTTTATTCCTTAAAGTTTTGCTGACCTCTATCGTCTAGGCATGTCTCTCTCACTTGACATTCCAGTGAAAATCTTGGTTAATAAAAGGGGCTTTATGTGTCCTATTATAAAGAAACCAGATTCTTATGGATTTATGCAAGCAAACAAATTGCCATGAAAACAATAATATTCACTCATACTCATTTCAGTATTCTTTTGTGCTGTAAATGCAGGGGTCAAAGGAAAAATATAAATTAGAGTAGCTAAATATATTAGATGCACAGTTATAGTCAAGCAAAAACCTAGGACTGAAGAATTCATTGTTTCAAATTTCCAAAATTTATAAGGAAATAATTTTGTTTCAGGTAGCCCAATCATTGAGGGAGGGGATTGTATAAATTTGGATTCCCATTATCAATCTACCTCATCCTATGGATTCTTCTCACTGTAAAGATAACAATATCACAATTAAGCTGGAGAAAATAATAATTTTCTAAAATGAAGTCAACCTTTAATTTGTGGTCCTAGAGTAACTTGAATTATTTGATTGTATATATAATGTTGAAAATGAAAATTTGAAATGTTTTTCTTAAAACTTTTCTTTTTTTAGTTGTCAAACACATACATCAAGTAATAGCAATGTTAAGACATGTTATTGCCTAAGGTAAATGAGAAGGGATGGTAGACTGCTCCCATTAAATTCTGCTGAATCCTCAGACTTTCAAAAAGTGGAATACATAAAATTCTTGGATTATTCAGACACTCTTTATTTATAAACTAGAGGCCCAGTGCAGGAATTTGTGCACGGGTGGGATCCCTTGGCCTGGCCAGCGATCAGGGCAGATTGGGCTGGCTGACTGAGGGGAGGGACTGTGGGAGGTTGGCCAGCCAGACAGGAGGAGGGACTGTGGGAGGTTGGCTGGCTAGGGGAAGGGACCCCCGGAGGTTGGCTGGCCACGGGAGGTTGGTTGTGGGAGCACACTAACCATCAGTGGGCAGCATCTGCCCCCTGATGGTCAGTGTGTATCTTAGCTATTGGATGGTCGTCCAGTCGTCGGGTTGTCTGGTAGTAATGGTCACTTAAGCTTTTATATATATATATACATATATATATATATATATATATATATATATATATATATATATATATATATATATATATATATATATATATATATATATATATATATATATATATATATATATATATATATATATATATATATATATATATATATATATATATATATATATATATATATATATATATATATATATATATATATATATATATATATATATATATATATATATATATATATATATATATATATATATATATATATATATATATATATATATATATATATATATATATATATATATATATATATATATATATATATATATATATATATATATATATATATATATATATATATATATATATATATATATATATATATATATATATATATATATATATATATATATATATATATATATATATATATATATATATATATATATATATATATATATATATATATATATATATATATATATATATATATATATATATATATATATATATATATATATATATATATATATATATATATATATATATATATATATATATATATATATATATATATATATATATATATATATATATATATATATATATATATATATATATATATATATATATATATATATATATATATATATATATATATATATATATATATATATATATATATATATATATATATATATATATATATATATATATATATATATATATATATATATATATATATATATATATATATATATATATATATATATATATATATATATATATATATATATATATATATATATATATATATATATATATATATATATATATATATATATATATATATATATATATATATATATATATATATATATATATATATATATATATATATATATATATATATATATATATATATATATATATATATATATATATATATATATATATATATATATATATATATATATATGTATATATACGTAGATATATACATATATATATATAGTAAATAGGCTATATAAGCTTAAGTGACCATTACAACCAGACAACCCGATGACCGGATGACCAGCCAATAGCTAAGACACACACTGACCGCCAGGGGGCAGATGCTCAACACAGGAGCTGCCCCCAGCCCACAGGCCCCAGGCCAGCCAAGATCGGTGCCAGTAGGGGCCCCCTGATCGCCCCAACGGTCGCCCCGCAGATCAGTCCTGATCGCTGGCCATCCCTAGGGACCCTACCCATGCACAAATGTCATGCACCAGGCCTCTAGTATTATATAACTGGGACAATGCTTAGTAGTTTTCTTATCAAACTGCATGGAATAATCACCTTGGACATTTAAAATTTATATTGTATTAGGGGCCCGATGCACGAAATTCTGCAAGGGGCTCGGCCCTCACAGCCCCGTTGCCTCAGTCCTTGCAGCCCTGGCTTCCTTGGCCCCTGTAGCCTGGCTGCCTCATGGCCCGGCCCACTGGTCATTCTGGAAGGTTGTTCCTGAAGGTCGTTCTGCCATCTGGTCTAATTAGCATATTAGCTCTTTATTATATAGGATTTGCTCATATCTACTAAACAGACTGGGAAGAAGGCATACAGGTAGAAATATGTACTTTTAGAAGCACC